CCCATCTTTTCAAATTGGCCAGCAATATCAAAGTCACATTGGTAAAATTCTCGATATCGCCCTTTAGATGGATTATCTCTTCTCCACACCTTATCTATATGGTATCTTTTAAATGATGAAAGACCATTCATAGCCACATATCTAGCAAATGGAACAGTCAAGTCGTAACGTAGGCAACAAAGCTCCCCACCCTGTAAAAAGAGTTTCAAGGAAAATGTTATTACAAGTAACAAAATTAAAACACTTAATTTTAGCACTCTCATTGGAACAAATTTTGGAGAAAAACAATAAAATCCCACCAAATTAAACAGTAAAAAAATTGATAGAAATGCAAAAGGAAAACATGACTTTAGCTGAAGCAACTGACCATTGTGTACTAACCTGATCAGCAAGATCATAAACCAACTTTGAATCCTCCCCATACTTTCCCATGAGAGTCTCCCTCAATTCAAATGCGGGTGTATCCAGGGCAGTGGCACAATGCTTCTCAAAAATGTTTGTAATAGTTGAAAATGCTTTCTTTCTCACAACCATTTGCTCCTTAGCAAAATCTCGGGTACCCTAACATACGTATTGACGTGCACAATGTCAGAATGCTACAGGCTTTATTAAAAAGAAAATCATAGAATCATGCCATCAAGCAAAGTAAACCAACAAAATGGTAATAGAACATACAAACCAAATTGGGTTCCATAAATAGAAACGATGGTATCAAAATTTTAAGTAAAAAAAAAAAAATCAAATATATTAAACTGTGCCACTCTTACCTTTGGTGTCTTGGGGATTCTTCTACTTTCATTGCTCTCCAAAATATCCTTTACCTTCTGCAATAACTTATCGAACTCTGAGCCTTTTGGATCCAACAACAATGGAAGATCCTCTGCCAAACTCTCCAACAACCCAGAATTATCCTGGGCACCTGCTCTCTTAGCCATCAACCAATCTTTTATCATTTCCACCAGAACACCAGTACCTTTCCCCAACACCACCTTCTTCTTCTTTTTCTTCTCTTTCTTCTCTGATTTCACGTCTCCTCCATCAGACTCAACCACTTCCGCATCCTTCTCATTCAACCATTCTACACCCTCAAGCGCAACAAAAGCTGTCACTGCTTCCCACGCCACTATTTTCCACACAATTTTCAGCACTACATTCACCTCACCCAGCAACCTCACATAATCCTCATCAAGATCCGCTTCCATAGCCAACTTCACCCCATTTCTTAAACTTTCCCCACTAGGACAATCTTTCTCGAACATACCCTTCTCATCAGACCAATTTGCTGAGTCCAAATTCGACCTCGCCCTATCCCAGCTGCTCTCCCCCAACTTCCGAAGCTCAAACCCCAAAAGCAACGCCTTCCCCCCAACCTTCTTCCCGGCATTCAACACTACCCGAATAACAGAATGAAGATTCTTCACAGCCTCCCGAAAATTCCCAATAATTACAGGGATCTTCGTAATGGATTCAAGTTCGGGTTTTTTACTACCTTTAGCATAAACAACCAACTTGGAACCATTCACCATGGTCTTAATGTCTGAGGCCACTCCGACGTCTTCCTTCGCCAAACTCCCATCGCCAGAATCTGTCAAATCAAAGGACTGTAACCCGGCTTCCGACGCCTCGCATGACAGCGCCGCAACAGCCACCGCAATGGTTGATAGCACCGAGGCGTCTTGGTCCAAGGTCAAGAGAGCCTCCTGTAGAGACGAGACGCCGCCTTCATCTTCTTGTGTACCCATCGGAGCCAATCGGAGAGCACAAGAAAAAACTGTAGTGAAGAGGAGCAGCAAAGCAGACAACGCTAACAGTGAAGCTCGTTTCAGAGAATTGTAGGGTTTTTTTTTTTTTTTTTATACATTTTCTTAATTTCAGTTTAAAAAAATAATAAAAACCTGTTGTGCATTGTGTACTGAAATGCACAACTAAAGTTATTGAAGAGAAAACTGATTTGTTAATTTTAGCGGGAGTAGTTTAGTTTTTTAAATTTTTAATTTGAATTTTATAAATAAAAAAAATATTAAGAGGGTTTATATGAGATATAATATGATTTTATTTTATATTAATAAAGATTTAATATAAATTTTAAATACTAATATTAGTAAAAATATTGTTGAAGAGAAGATATCACCTTTAATTGAAAAATAGTTGAAGAGATAATTCTTCTTATCTCTTAATTTACATGTGATTAACTTAAAATTAAAATTTTTTATTTTTTTATAAAAAAAATTATTATGAATTACTTAGTTTATTGGTCATATTTTATCCCCCTCTAACCAGAATTGTACCAAAAAATAGAGAAATGTGGAGAAATAGGAGGAGATGAACGTATCCATGTTTTATATTTGATGCCCAAAATTCAAGTACAAAATGCTTTTTCAGTTTTTGGCCAACAATGAATACAAGTGTAAATTAAATCAAATTGTTTTCTGTTCTATTTACTCATTATTACAGTTGCAAAATAGATGTAATTTTTTCATAATATCTGGAATTTTTTCAAAGTGACAACATTGTTTTGTCATTTTCCTAGGAGAAGAATGAAGAATTTATATAGGTGATGTAAATTGTACAATTACATAAAATTATCTATAAATGACAAGAAAAAAAAGGGTACGATTGCAATTTTAACTTGAAAAGTCATACTTATGGAAACGTAGTTTTATTGTGTAAACATCCACTCTAGTTGTTTGCCCATAAAAGAGTTGTTATCAAAAAAAGAAAAAAAATTGAGAGACAAAATTGATATAAGTGACTAAAAAATATATTTAATCCTTAATAAATAGGATAGGAGGATTTCCCATTTTTGTGACGCAATAGAGAGTATAGGGACGAAAAAAGGAGAATCCAAAAAAGAAAACGAGAAGAAACAGAAACAGAAGGGTTTTCAAAAGGCAAATTCGTTAAGAAACTTCCGAGGAAAGATGGAGAGAAATGGAGGGTGATTTATGATTTTATACAGGGTGTAGTGTATATCTAATTTATTTTTATAAAATTAAAAAGAAA